CCGAAACATATGGCTGGCAGAGGGAAAAGGGTTCCGTCGACTAGATTCGAACCAGCGACTGTTTGCGTACCGGCCCAGCACATCAGGTGTCGCACGGCTGTTAAGTCATGGCCAGCGGAGCGCGAAAAATATCACCATCAGCCAGCCGAGATTCGAACCGGCGACAAGGATAATACAGGGCCCGGACGCTACCGACATGGCCACGACGGAGCGATACAGAGCACCACTTTCAGCGGCATCTTGATCTAAGCTGTGACCGACGCGCCCGAAGACACTTGGCCAGCAGAGCAGGGAAAAACGACCACGGATGGGAGTCGAACTAGCGACCTCCCGCACGATCTGCCAACGATCACGCTTTAACACGCTCGGCTACCAGCTTGCTCCTACGAGGGCAAGGTCTAAGCTCGTTCATGCCTAACGGGAGACAAAAAGCGACCAAGAAAAAATTTGCCCCGCCCGGGAGTTGATCTTAGGGCCGGCAATTTTGGTTCGGATGAAGCTGCATGCGGTCATGTCGACTGTAGCTACAACTGTTTAGCTACAAAGGGGCGTGTGGGTGGTGGTGTCGGACATCGTATGTTGCCCCATTTGGGACCACATTTTTGTGTCCATAAACAGTGACGACACTTGTCGCTGCGACACGAGTGGTCGTTTGAACGCCTGCGAGGTAGGCCACGGCTTTTATCTAAGGCGTCTGTCGTGACGAGGACTTTGGGTTTAGGCTCCTTTTGACTCCAGGCTCATAAATCCTTTCTAAAGCTAAGAAGTGACGCCGTGTCAATCTAGGCGTGGGTCGATTATTGTCGCTGAAAACGCCTGGAGGGTAGGCTATGCTTTCCTGAATCGGGCCCCCGCGGCCCCCTGTCCCTCCAAGCGCTTGGACAAGGCGAGAGCTTCGGAGCATTGATATCTTTCGTTTTCGCTATAGACGGTTCAGTTTAAGCTGACTCGGGCACTGTCGGCTGTAGCTACAATCGTGTAGCTACAAACAGGGACGTCTGCTAGCCCCCTGCTCTCGAGAACATAAGTGGACTAATATGCCCTGCAACGAGACCACTACGGCAAAACTGTTGTTTGCTGTAGGCACCCCTCTAAAAGTTTTGCCATCTTTTAACATGTTGTTCCCGGTTCACAAACCCCGGGAGTACTTATGTTCTGACCACTGTGGAAGGAAGCGGCTGTTCCCGCGATCACCGAAGTCGCCAAAGACTGCGGTGGGATGAGGAAAGTATTTCCCCATTTTTATCTTTCATTTTTGAAGCCTGTTCCCCTTTGAAGCACATTCTTCCTAAATTTCAGCATATTGACACAGCTGTGTGTGTAGCTACAAACAGGGTCGCGCCTAGCACTCTCGTTTCTGCTTTGCTGTCGCGCCCCGCATTTCTTAATGTGTATATTACAGTACTTATAACTATATTAGTTTGTTGGTTTGTAATTCAAAGGCCGATATGGTACGGAATAAAGCGAGACATGTTTTCTATGTTTGATTGTTATATTGTTTCCAAAACATAATAAGGAATAGAAAACACAAACATTGATTCAAGCAGGTAAACATAAAGTCTAATTATTTTAGGATCACAAATTAAAAGAAAGAGCGCTCATATCACCAGCAGCACTGAAACAAATTAACAGATAATACGAATTACGAATCATAAAACTAATTTCTTAAAAAATCTACATCAGTCTTGACAGTATCTTAAACAAAGTAAGATAGGAAAACATTAAACTATACTTCCGTACGTATAAGAATGTGCCATCTTTCTAACAGTTCATATGCCATTACAGATATGACAAAAAGAAACAAGATTCTGCACGTACAAATGGTCAATATTTTCAGACAGCAAATCGTGAAGTACATTCTACTTCTGCGGTAAATCTTGCAACAGCTTTGGTCAGGCTCCAAATAAATATTACTCTATCTGTATTTACAATGCCACACACTGATGTTGCCACAGCCGGGTGTGAAGGGGTAGTGACGCTGCATGGGGTAGCGGCACTGCGTGGAGTAGTGGCGCTGTGCGGGGTAGCGGCGCTGCCTGGGGTAGCGGCGCTGGGCGGTATAGCGCCAACAGAACCGTGAATACCCCTCCCTCGAGCGCTCCCACCTTACACGCCCCTGCGCTCAGTAACCCAAGTCGCGTGGTGACGGCGCGACTCTGCTATTATCTTGGGCGTGGCGTGCGGCGTGCGACCCTCGGGCCCAGGTGTCCTCCCAGTGGTGTCCAGCTCTGCGAAGAGGACCCCGACCCCGTCATCGTGATCAGTTTAGCCATTCGGCACCAGAGGCGCATCGCGTCGGCAATCAGATGTTGAGGCAGCGCAGCTTCTTGGTCTGCACCCTGGACGAGAAGGCAAACGCCTCTTGCTGCTGGGCCGCCGGTGGCGCTGCTGGTTCTTGCTGGTGGTGGTTCTGGTGGTGGTGCAGGAGGTGGTGGTATCCAAGGTCTGCCGCCACTTCGGCCACACCCGCCTTTCCAGGCCCTGCGTCGCCGCCCTGGTTGCCGCCGACGACGTCGTTATCGTCGTCGTCGCCGTCCTCGATGACGGTGGCCACCGGCGAAGAGGACGCCGACGAGGCCACGACCAGCGCGTCGGCCTGCGCGGGCTTGGGCGTCAACCCCATGAGGGTGTCGAGACACAGCCGCCGCTGCCGAATCTCGTGGCGCACGAGCTGCTCCAGGGCGAACAGGTGGTCGTCGTCCGCCTCCGGGGCCGCGGCGCGCATGTACTCGGCCAAGCGCAGCAGGTACTCGACGTTGTGCCCCGTGGCGCCGCGGCACTCCACGATCTCCTGGGCGATCTGGCACAGCGGCGCGTCACCCAGCCACAGGCGGTTGCTGGGCGTCGCCACGTAGAGCAGGGCGGGGAAGGGCTGGGCGGGGAACAGCCCAGAGCCAGAGGAGCCAGCGTCATCTGCGCAAAGGACGAAAGGCACGCGTTACTATCGGCAGCATAGGACAGTACGTACAGAGAAATTTTAAAAAGAGTACGTTGACGGAGTTCTTTTCGTCTCCCAATATGGTTTCTACAAAATTTGGTCAATAACTTGTACACTGAGAAAAAAAAATCTGTCTCAGCACTATACGTTTAGTCCCCAGATCGACGTTTTTTCGTTGCACTATACGTCTAGCGCTGGGAGCTAAACGTAGCATCCCAGGCAAAGAAAATTTAGAGCACAGCACTAA